AAATAAAAAAAGTTGAATTTGAGCGTGATCAATCTATTTTTTATATATGCGTCCATTTTAGTTTTATAAGTACCACCTTCTGTTAAATTTTCAAAAAATCCCTTCACAAATAAAATAGTTAGCTGCACAACCCCCATTCATTCCTAGACGTCTGTTTTAAATTTGGTTTGTAAGCAGGGTCATCATTTAAAATTTCAGAAAAAAGTGGTATATAAGTAAGAAAATTATGCGTATGTACTGTTTATTTTTTGTTCATTGCTTTCTTCTTTTGAAATTTCATAAAAATTCGTCCACAAATGACAGTTGCACATGCACAACATATTCTTTGATACGTTATTGCAATTTGATTTTATAAAATGCATCTTAGAATATAGGATTTATAAGCACCATAAACGGCCAACGTGTTATTATGTATATGAAAATTGTTTCTATAACTTTTTTAGTAATAAACTCAGAAAACATTCCTTAGTTGAGGCTAGTCTCGACCATAACGAACCAAATAGCGAACAAAGTAGGACAATTGCTCTTAAGATCAAGATCTAGTAGTGACTCATCCGTACGAACGAACACGCGGACGGATGTCAGACAGACGGACAGAGTGGTCATAATAACGCATTTTTTAGCTTCTGTGGAAATGCGCTAAAAGTACGAGATTTTAAAATAAAAAAATTTGCTGTGGCTAGTGCAGATACCACCCGCACCCCTGCGGCGGTGCGAATCTGCAAAAATATGTTCAGCTCTTTTCCTTTTATGTCTAAAAATATGTGTACCTACCAAATTTGATTTCAATCGGCTCAGCGGTTTAACCGTAAATGAAACTTCAGACAGACACACCGACAGACCGATAGACCGACCGACATCATTGAGCTTTTGTTTTATTTGGGTCCCTGGTGCGTTAAAACGTGTAATTCCGTCAAAACCGTAGAGGGAGGGGGGTACTTTTTTACCACAATCATTACCTTCCTTACTAACCTTTCGTTAGCATTGGGGTAAAAAATGCCCACGTGGGTGGTCAAAAATCGTTAAATTTCGGGGCAGCGTAGTCTGTAGACTTTTTAGAAATAATCAGAAAAATGGAAACTCAGACGTCCAGCTTTTAGTGCGGTGAAAACGGAGATGGTTGCGTTTCAGTGAGCATTTATAGAAACGCCCTTAACGTACAGTCACAGAAACAAAAATATTTAGCGCACCGCGTAAATAGCATAAAGGACAAAAGGGGATATTGTTAGGAATTGCGTAATTTTTAAACGGGGAGGGTTGCAAGTAGATCCTCTTAAACTACACGCCACTGAGTCGACTGTATTTAAAGCGATTGTGTTTGGAAACATTTTTGCATGTCAGTTATGCCAATTTTAAGATAAGACGCTACGGCCCGGGTGTTATCGCCTATTTCAGGTAACACGCATTCCAATACCTAATTAATACGTTTCATTTTGCGTTGCGCTCTGGAAGCGTGTGAAGTGTTTGTTTCGTGCTTCGACCAGGGATCGAACCAAAACGGAAAATGGTGAGTTATTGTTTTGTAATTTGGGTGTTAGGTAATACTTCGTAGACTAAATCGTTAGTAGGTAAATTTGGACAAAAAAACCGCATCTGTTTTAGGCCACATTCATTGCAAAACGATCTTTCAAATTCATTCAAAACCTTCTTTAAAGGACGTGGTTCGTTAGTAGGTATTTTAGATTTCATGTAAAGAATTTTGAATTCGTACGGTGTGGCGTAAAACTCAAAGAAAGCCAAAATTGATCGTACCGATTTACAAGGAATCATTTGAAAGCGTAATATTAATGTTTTAGAAGTAGATTTTCAACTGCACTGCCGCCACATGTTGCGAGATAAGGAGTTAGTCATCGCACCTGTGGCCGTAACTAATGATTACATTTCTTTTTAGAAAGTGGTCGTATTTTAATTATACCTTTTCTTTCATAATTTTAGTAGACAGGAGGATAATTTCCAAAAATATTTCATGCCCTCGTTTCCTGTTATTTAAAGGGGTGGTTTAAATCTACCTTAAATGTTAGTCTGTATATAAAAATCGAAGGTATTTTAAATCAATTGATTGTGAATTATTTTCAACTTATATCAGTCAATTTTTTGCATATACCTACCCCCTAAATACCCGGGGGTGTTTTAGCACTGAACAACAAATTCGAGATTGCAATTGCTATTCGGCAAAATAATCTTTCAAATCCATTCAAAACCATTTTTTAAAGGCCGTGGTTCGTTAGTAAGTATTCTAGATTCCATGTAAAGCATTTTAATTTGATACGGTGCAGGGTAAAACTCCAAAAAAGTAAAAATTGGTCAGACCAGTATACAAAGAATCATTTGAAAGTGTATTATATTATTGTTTTCGGAGAATGTTTTTATCTGTTATGCCGCCACATGTTGTGAGATAAGGAATTAGTCATCACACCTGTGGCCGTATCTAATGATTGCATTTCTTTCTAGAAAATGGTCGTAATTTACGTGACCTTTCTCTTTCACAAATGTAGTAAACAGGGGAATAATTTCCAAAAATATTTCTCACCCTCTCTTTCCCTTTTATTTAAAGAGGCGGTCTGACTCTACCTCAAACGTTAGCATTTAATTCACCTGTATATATAAAAATTGTAGGCTTTTTGAGTCAATTGACTTTCGATTAATTCCAACTTTACAGTCAATCCTACCCATTAAATACCGGGGGGTGTTTTAACACTAATCAAGAAATTCGTGATTGTAATTTCTTTCGAAAGGCCAACTTCCTTCGATTTTCTATATGCATAGGCAATAAATCAGGAAGTACTTGACCGTTTACCATCCTGCCGGGGAGAATTTAGTAAGATTGGGTGTGACCCGATATAGGTTTGCGCATAATCTTTGCTTTAGACCTCGTTAAAGAATATTTCAATCCATTCCGAAGTAAGGTGCTATTCGAAAGTTAAACTTTCTTTACTCGAGATACTTTGCAGATCCATCCTGGTCACCAACTCTTGCCACTGCGTTTGCTACCCTGTGCAAACTACAATTTCGTTTAATACGCGGTTCTATTTTTTAAGTTCAATTATTTTTAAAGCATTTTTTTACCTGAATCTGCCGTCATTGGTTGAGCTGGTGATGCAAAAGTACAAGGAACTATTATTTCCTGCCATTTTTTACCTAAAATTTCGGCAGTAAGCTTTATTATAGATTAAAATGAAAAGGGTGTAAGTATAAGCATGACCCAAACGTTTTTATTTGCGGCGGAATTTGGACAAAATTTTGCGATTGTACCTTTTTTTTGTTAAAGAGAGCTTGTACAAGTGTTGAGTGTAGGGATGCACAAAAGAAACTTTCCTATTTTACATTGCTGCTGTGTGTTTACTAATAATTTCAAATGAAAAGGGTGTATGTGTATAATGTATATGTGCACATTTCTATTTGCGGTTCAATTTTTATGTAATTTGATAATAATGGCTAATCCAAAGCAAATGAAATGAGTACGTACAGAAATTTTTATCGCAAAACTTTGTGAAGACCGCAGTTCGGTGATGGTTGAGATCTAAAACCCAGACGAACAGACGAATTTAACTGTACTAGGTAACCGTGTTTTCGACGAAGATGTTGGTAGCACAATATATTCGATTTATCGTCGAAATGTTGTGTGCAATTATTAAAGGATCAACTTCGGTCATGGGTTTTGAAGTTTGCTGTAGAACTCTTGAGTGGTAACTGCGCTTAAAAATTCAATTAAAAAGTGTGTAGTGCGTGGAAGGCATCACCTCCTTTGGGTAGTCCTTTGGTCAAACCAAGTGGAATGCTTATTGCAAGATAGTTGTATACGGATTGCTAATCGTTTTCCTTTTGTTTCCCCCATAAGCGATGTTAAAGATCGAAATGAAAAAGTGTGTAACTTGTGGTGCATCAAAAATCACCCAAAAAATAAGGTTTAGCAATGACCGCTTTAAAATTGTAATCTTTGTCATTAACTTTTTTTCTTAATAATAGTTTTGAGACTTTCTCTACCCCTCAATAGAAAAAAAAACGAGTTTTGGCCTTATATCGTCGTGCTTTAAACCGAAAGCTAGTTGAGGACCGCGGGTGTTGTGATAGTTGAGATCTCAAACCCTCAGCCGAACAGACGCAATTACTTGTATCTTTCATAAAGAAGATTTCGTAATTAAAAGATCGCTTTCAGGTTAGGAAATTTGCTGTAAAAATCTTGGGTTATAACAGCGCACTTTCACTTAAATTTTCAAAAAAAAACCGCTCATAAGCAAGAAAGTTGGGTCTGCGTATGCAATCTATTTTTTTTCAAAAAGTGCACTCAATAACAATGACCCAAGGTGTTCACATTAGTTTCCAACAGAGCCCATTTGCCAATCCGCATACCTGTGCCTGTGCGAATCTGCCAAAAATATTTTCCTTTTATGTCATACTCTTAAAGTATCTGTACCAAATTTGGTTCCAATCGGTTCATTCGTTTAGCCGTAAATGAGGATGCAGGCAGACACACCGACAGACCGACCTGCATCATTGAGCTTTTGTTTGATTTAGATCCCTGGTGCTCTAAAACGTGTAAGTCCGTCAAAACCAGCCCGGTGGGACATTTTTACCACATGACATTACCTCCTTTACTAACGAAAGGCGGATGGTAAAAATCGTAACATTTCGGGGCAGCGTAGTCTGTAGAATTTTTAGAAATAATCAATCGCAAAAATAGAAAATTACACGTTCAGCTTTTACTGCGGTGAAAACGGGTATGGTTGCGATTTTTGTGAGCATTTATAGAAACGCCCTTAACGTACAATCCCAGAAACGAAAATGGGAATTGCGTAATTTTTAAACGGGAAGGGTTGCACCTAGATCCTGTTTTATCTACACCCCACTGGGTTGACTGTATTTAACGCGATTGTGTTTGGAAACTTTTTGCATGCCAGTTACGCCAATTTTAAGATAAGACGCTACGGCCTGGGTGTTATCGCCTATTACAAGTAACACGCATTCCAATACCTACCTAATACGTTTCATTTCGCGTTGCGCTCTGGAAGCGTGTGGTGTGTTTGTTTCGTGCTTCGACCAGGGATCGAACCAAAACGGGAAATGGTGAGTTTTTGATTTGTAATTTGGGTGTTATTGGTTCGTAGACTAAATCGTTAGTAGGCAAATTTGGACAAAAAACTGCATCTTTTTTAGACAGCATTCATCGCTTTTTAGCAAAATGATCTTTCAAATTCATTCAAAACCTTCTTTAGAGGACGTGGTTCGTTAGTAGGTATTCTAGATCTCATGTAAAGGATTTTGAATTCGTACGGTGTGGCGTAAAACTCAAAAAAAAGTCAAAATAGATCGTACCATTTTACAAGGAATCATTTGAAAGCGTAATATTAATGTTTTCGAAGTAGATTTTCAACTGCATTGCCGCCACATGTTGCGAGATAAGGAATTAGTCATCGCACCTGTGGCCGTAACTGATGATTATATTTCTTCAACAAATTCGCGATTGCAATTTTTAGACAACGTTCATCGCTATTCAGCAAAATGATCTTTCAAATCCATTCAAAACCATTTTTTAAAGGACGTGGTTCGTTAGTAGGTATTGTAGATTTCATGTAAAGCATTTTGACTTCATACGGTGCAAGGTAAAACTCTAAAAAAGTCAAAATTGATCGTACCATTTTACAAAGAATTATTTGAAGGTGTAATATTAATGCCGCCACATGTTGCGAGATAAGGAGTTAATCATCGCACATGTGGCCGTAACTAATGATTGCATTTCTTTCTAGAAAATGGTCGTATTTTAAGTGACCTTTTTCATAACTGTAGTAGGCAGCGGGATAATTTCCAAAAATATTTCTCGCCCTCTTCCCCTTTTATTTAAAGAGGCGTTGTGAATCTACCTCAAATGTTAGTCTTTATTGCAGCTCTATATAAAAATCGAAGGCTTTTTGAGTCAATTGATTTTTAATTAATGCCAACTTTACAGTCAATTTTATGCGTATACCTACCCCTTAAATACCGAGGGTTGTTTTAGCACTAATCAAGAAATTCGTGATTGTAATTTCTTTCGAAAGGCCAACTTCCTTCGATTTTCTATATGTATAGGCAATAAATCAGGAAGTACTTGACCGTTTACCATCCTGCCGGGGAGAATTTAGTAAGATTGGGTGTGACCCGATAGGTTCATGCATAATCTTTGCTTTGGACCTGGTCAAAGAATATTTCAATCCATTCCGAAGTAAGGTACTATTCGAAAGTTAAACTTTCTTTCCTCGAAATACTTAGTAGGCCCGTGCTTGTCGCCAGCCCCTGCGACTACGTTTGCTACCCTGTCAAAACTTCAATTTCGTTTAGATATTCCAATAGAAATGTTTAATATGGTGCTATTTTTTAAGTTTCATTTCTTTGAAAGCATTTTCTTTACCTGAAAGTGAATTGCTTGAGCTGGTAATGCAAAAGCATAAGGAACTTTATTACTTCGTGCCACTTTTTACGTAAAATTTCGGCAGTAAGCTTTATCATGGATTAAAGTGAAGAGGGTGTAAGTACGTACGCGACCCAAACTTTTTTATTTCTGGTGAAATTTTTACGAAATGTCTTTGTATTAGGTCCTTCTGGTAACAGATTCAGATTCTCCGAAAAATTGTGCCCATGTACTACCGAATCGTCCATTTTTGACCGTTTAAGCTAGGGAAAATGAAAACGAATGTGACATTTTCAGTTTTTGAGTGATATCTCAGGTTTCAAAGATTTAAAAAAAATTTCAAATGCGTTTTTTTAGTTACGAGGGGGATAATGTCCCCATTTAACTTACACTGCATCTCTTACCGTTACGGTGATCCCAATGGTGAGCCACGAATTTGACCCGCCCTGTACTTGACCGAATCGCACTTCTTTATTTACGCAAAATTATACACAGAATTTCTTTTTTTTGTTATGTTTTCTATAAAATTTCAACTGTAAGCTTCGTTATAATTCAAATGTTTCAATAAGAATATTTTGCCACCTCTTCGAAATAAAATAGATAATTTTAAGTCGAAAATACGCATACACATCTTAAAAATCCAAATTCAAACAACACCCTCATCACTCAACATTTCCTTCGCAATTGTAGTAAAAGAGGGAGTTAATGCCAATAATATTTCACACCTTTTATAGTTATTTACAATTACAATTTTTATTGTAGTTGCATATAAAAATCGAAAGCTTCTTGTGGCAATCGATTTTAGATTCAAGCAATTTCCAAATTTTACCCAATTTTGTGTAATCTTTCCTTTAGATCTAGCTAAAGGGCACTTTAGGGTGTTATTATTCCAATAGAAAAATTGAAACTGAAGTAAGTTTAGTCTTTTTAAGTGAAAATACTAGCGCATTGTTTGCTTGTCCGCCACTTCGTGTGAGAGGGATGAGATCTCAACAAACGAGATGCCGGGGGGGGGGGGCATTTTCGAGACAATTAATAGATATAGCTCCCCTATACTGACCAGTAAGCAACATTTACAACTTATTCGGGAATTCTGACAAAAGGCACAACAGGCCCGTTTCTGTCTTACGCCCTGTTTGGTTAAGGTAGTAGAGCAACATGTTTTATTTGTGCAACAATTTGATAAGAAACCTAGTGCAAAGGTCAAGCGTAGGTATTTATATGCACAAAAGCAACCTGCTTATTTTTTTGCAATTTTTCCCTTTACATTTTGACTGTCTTCTTTCTTGAAAATTCAATCAAAAAATGCGTAGCGAATGTGCGGCTCCAAATTTAATATTCGTGAGTCAATTTTGTTGATTTTGTTATCAGGCCAATTGGTCAAAACCTGTTTACTTTTGTCACCTCAAAAGGGCGGCGTGCATGCGTGACCTGAGCTTTTTACTTTCCGGTCAATTTTGTTCAAATATTTTAAATTTTCCTTCAAATTTCGACTGTTAGGCTACTTAAAAGGTCAAATAGAAAACGTGTAGTTGATTCTTGGCCGCAATTTTCCTAATTTTTATGAAACTGCCCTCTCACATAGCATGAGTGGGATATTTTGTAAGAAGTTCCTACTATGGGGGGTGTCACTTTTTGTTATATCGTCTAATTATGCGCAAAGGACTTTAGTGGTCTCATATACACAAAGATAAAGGTTTCATCTCCATCATTTTTTAAATTTTCAGCTTTCCAATAAAATCCTTTGCAATTTTCTACTATGCAATGACGAAATTTAGGTAGCGCTTAAAAAGGTTCGGTATCTTTGGTTAGTTGCTATTGAACGTGACTTTAGCTACTCCTCACCCATCAACATAAATATGAAAACCTGAAAGATTTGAAATTTAATCAAGTTTCTTAGGGAAGGAGAATTTTTGTTTTTTTTCCACTAGGGCTATAACAAACTCAATATACAGAGATATAAAAGTTTAACCCTTAGCAATGTTTAATCATGTATTTTATTACGTCCTCTCCAGTTAAAGCTAATCTAGCATACCCCAATCGACTCCACTCCATGTATATGGAAAGGGGTTAGATTAGACCATTTTTATGCAGGGTCGCTATTAAAGATGGAGATTTTGAGATATAGGTAGACATGAAAATTAGAACTCTTCCATTTGAAATTTATTTCAAACATTTCTTTGACACATGGTTTTTGACATATTACAAAATTAGCCAGCCGCCTGTGTCGCGCAGCGGGGTGGATGCTCGACTGCGGCACTAAGGGTCCCTGGTTCTAATCCCGGTTTGGGTATGGATATTTGAAAATGCATAGCGGGCTGGGTTGGTAGAGCTACCTTGATTAAAACCTTGCCCTATTAATTAATTACGATTAGAAACCCTTTGTTAACTTATTTTTCTTTTCAGTTATTGGTGCAAGTGTGAAAGAGTGCGGTTGTGTTGTGTTTTCTTCCCTGCGTTGGATAATGGTCATCCCTAGGAGAGCCCGAATTAATAAGGCTAGGGTAAGTTTCTTTTTTTTTTAATCTGCACATAAGTTGTCAGTTAGCTCGTGTCTTATTTTGATAATACACAGTTGTCTTTCATTCCATTAGAAGTGTTCAAATCATTTAGAGGTTTTACTTTAGATTCTTTGTTCAACACGTACCACAAATATTTTCGATTTTCATTTTTGTAATTCAAATTTATTCTTCATTTCAGATCCGAGAAGGGCAGCCTTATAAAGGTAGGATTTTCTTTTTTTGCATGGTGGTGTTGGGTTTATTGCACTTTTTATTTTATGTATCTAGCAGTGGGGAAAAGTGAATAGTGCATAACCAAAAGGTAAGGTAGTGAGTCTGGCTGACCTTCGTACGGTAAAATTAAGTGAGGTATGTCCCTCTTCTCGCCCATCTTAGTTACGTAAGCGTGGCTGCAAGTTCTTCTCTCAGAATCAATCAATTTATTTCACAATATTCAGTATTGCAGCTCAACTTTCCGTTTCGAAGTTGAGCGATTTCGAAGATTTCCATACCTCACTTAGTATATCACTAGAAGGTCAACTTTGCGCTTTTTAGAAAAAGGTAAGTGCGTTTGAATCACCATAAGCGTTTCGTTTATTGAGTGTTTATGATTCTTTGGTAAACGAACGCGCAGAAAACTTGGAACAGTGTTGGCCTAATGGGCCTACTTACTGATTTTCTCGATTGTTCACAGCGTCATCGATGGGATTGCAGCGTGTAACCTGTTGAAGATCCAACACTGTCATGCTCAAGGTCAACCCACGGTCCGGTGACAGAGTCGTGTGGATGCCGCTTAGACGAGCGAGGTCAGTACAACATTGCTTGCTATTTTAATTGTCCAACAGTTTTTCTCAAAAACAAACTCAACTATTGCAAATTTTTCCATTACTCTATTTCCTTTTTCTTATCAAAACCTTAGAAAATTAATTTACAAGCTCTACCTTGTTTTCCGCAACTGAAGAATAGTTTAATTTTTTTTAATCATTTGCAGTCCAAACTCTCTCTAATGTAAAATATTTCCCTTTTCAGTAATGGACAACGGAGAAAGATGTCTACCAGGAGTTGTGCAGTGCCGTCCCTTCTATGGTTATGGTTCTTCCCAGGCGAGACCGATTTAATAAGGCTAAGGGTAGGTTCTCACTTTTGGTGAAATTTATAGTAAACGTAGCCTCCCTAAACAAAAATGGGAAAGAATTTCCTTGAAAGCCCATTTTAGGTATACTTTCTGAATTCACAAGCTTATTTGTAACCATTTTGTTTCATTTTAAGTAGTTACGTAATTGATCTCTTTTAACGTAAATGTATTCTTTGTTCCAGATTCCAGAAGGGCAGCCTTATCAAGGTAGGATTTTTTTTTCTATGCATGGGCATTTTCTTTTTTTGTGTATTTAGGAGTGCAGTGGGGGGGAAGTGAATAGTGCGTATACATCAGCGTCGAAACTTTCGTGCAATAATACGCTTTGTCTTGTGACTGTCCTCCAAGTCTATCATCTTGGTAATGTAAGATTGGGTCAAATGGTCTGCTTCGCACCGTCAACCAACTTTCCCCATTTTAATTGGTATGCCTATGAATTCATAGCCACACTGTTAGAATGGAGTAATTTGATTTTCTCTGCAAAACAAATATTTCGTTTCCAAGCTGAGTGACTTCGAGAACTGTTAGAATTCATGTATTATTACACAAAAATAGGTATTTTTGGTTTTAAGGGTAGGTAACCAATTGAATCACTAGATTACTTGAATTCTTACTAATTGCAATGTTTTGCTGTTCGCAGTAGCAGACCACTATATCTACTGTTGTGGGGGGACCTGGCGTGATGGACAACTACCCAACCCATCCTGTTGATCACAAGGAATTTGTTCAAGTAAAGAAAGGTGATTAGTATGCCACTTGTTTTAACCCTTTGCTAATCCATTCATTGCTCACATGGTGTAATTTAAGGATACAGACTTAAGCCTTAAGTTTTACACAAGAATTAAATTATTAGAACTTTCTTGTAATACGCAATGTTCTACTTTTCAGCTATGGTAACAAAGATGTCGTATGTCGTGCCTCTCATGGTAAGCGATTCTTCCCAGGCGAGCCCGAATTAATAAGGCTAATGGTACGTTTTCCATTTTTTAAGACATATATAGTTATAGAGTTAATAAAACAATGACGTCATTTTAGTAAATCCAAATTTCAAACCTCTTCAAACAATTGGCACGTTTGTTTATTATTATATTAACCCATTTATCATTTCTTGAGCTACATGTTTATTTAATGAATAATTCTAAAAGGTGATTACAAGTGTCCCTTATTCTTTTAACGTGGCTTACTTAAAATACCCTTGCTTTTAGGGGTTAATCAGAATTATAGATAGAATATAACATTTAATTTTAATCAAATGTACCTACTTATATGTATTCCTTGTTACAGATTCCAGAAGAGCAGCCTTATCAAGGTAGGATCTTTCTTTTTGCATGCGACTACATTTTCTTTTCCACATTTTTGTGTGTATTTACCAGTAGGGCAAAGTACAATAGAGGTCAAAGACTGTTTTGACAGAAATTTGTATCATAAAACTGAGTGGGGTGTAATAATCCCCTTAACTTATCATCTTGGTGATGTATAACATTAACTTTCGCTCCCATGCGGAATATCCGATTTATTTATAGGCGTAGAACATAAAGATTCCTTCTCAAATGATCTGCTAGCAGATTGGAAATATTTATACTCAATCCAATTTTGAAACCTTTTTCTTTGAAAAATTCAAAACTGATTTTATTTTCCACCACGGTTAAAATGCGCGCAGTGATCGGTCGTATCGAAAAAAGTGGTAGTGGTTGTGGTAATGAAAATCCTTCCTTGATAATTTGTACTAAATTAAACATAGCAAATCCTTCAAGTCATTCAGTTGTGTTTATGGGACCAGATAACATTTACGGAGTAGGGCTCTTGACAGAGGGAAAAGTGTCTAAGCCGCCTCGAGTGTAAACTTTTGATGCGACATGGACTGTACTACCATCCGGCAAGAGCTTTTCTCCTAAATTTGATCTGCCTCCTAAAAACAAGGTAATTAATCGTACAGCAGTCTTTAAAATTGATAGCTTCATTTATTTTTCGAAGCTGACTGACTTAGTGGAACGTTATGAGCCTCTAGTACTTTGAAAAGGTAAGTGAGTCTTCGGGGGTTCAGTGGGACCACTTGAGCCATCTGAAGATGGCCAACGCCCCACTCCCATTATCTTAAAAAATCTCACTTTACACGTTCTTTGCTGCACCTTTACTAACTTTAGTCACGTTCCTGATTCTCCTATCTTGGATTTTGCCTCATACGCAGCACATTCTAACCTTTGAGATATTTACTCTGCCTGTCATTACTCGCACTATGTGCTCGGAACCAACTTCCTATACTCGACCTATCCCGAAGTGGACTGCTTGACCAAGACAAGCAGGGGTGGTGGTGGGCCCACTTCCTTCCTTTCTCCCTTCCCGGTATATTTAAATACAGTTTCATATAAAAATTCTCTTAGCAGTCCTCGATTTCGAGGAGTGTCACGTTTGTGGCGATGTTGTATTCAATAGTCCTAATTAAGATAACCGAAACGGAATCAGACCCCCCACACATCTCGTCTTCAGACATCTGGAGTCCAACTGAAAAACATTGCTTTACAGTTATCAAAAGATGCAAAAAGGACAATCTTCCATTCCACCGAATGTTCGCTTATTTATTCTTATAATTCCACTACCAAATCTAACTAGGGCTACCGTTACAAGGGGTGTCACATTGGTGATGCATCACGATTGTTTTTTTATCTAATTATGGAGGATTATATCAACTTCATATTCCAAACATAAGATTTATCCCCTAACATTACTTTAATTATTAATTCTCTCAAGAAAAGAAGGTGGTGCTTTAACACTTTTTATCTTGGATTAATGTACTTAAGTGGGGCCCTAGAAACTCAAGATACTTGAATACAAAAACTTTACCTCTAAAAATAAATTGTAACTTCTTCCGAAGATTCCCTTTACCTTGCAATTTCATACTGTCAGTAAGTCATTACTCTGGCGGTTAAAAACCTTTAATGTTTTTGATTCAATAATATCAAAAAATGCCCCTAAAAATTTTTAAATCACGATTAGTATTTTGCTTCCGGGCTGAGTGACTTCGGGAACTGTTACATTTCACCGCTTTTATTTAAGGTAAGTGAACCACTACATTACTTGGTTCTTTACTAACCTCATTATTTCCTGTTTGCAGAGCTAGTAGCGGACTACCAGATCTAATGTTGTGGATCGACCGACTCCAATCCTGCCGTGACGGATCGGATCGAATCCAGGGAACCGCCGACCTTGTTCTCCACATAGAATTTGTTTACTTAAATTTAAAAAAAAAGGTAACTAGTATGCCACCCTTCATGTCTTAACACATCCGTCACGCACCGTTATCTCTAGTCCTTAGTAATTGTGTTTTCTTTTCCCATATGGCGTGATGTAAGGCCACAAAAACTCATTTCTTAATTTTATTTCACATAAAAATCACAATTTTTAGGTAAAATTGCATTAGATCCTCTTGCCGATATATTGTAATACTCTACTTTTCAGTTATATGGTAACAAGGATACGGACATCGTGTATGCCCATGGTTTGCGGTCCTTCCTAGGCGAGCCCGAGTTAATGAGGCTAAGGGGTAAGTTTTCCATTCTAATTAGAGGATATACAGTTAAAAACTTCATGGTCACAAAAGAGTTTGAGAAAAAAAGTCACATATCACCCCTCCCCCTAGCTAATTAAAATTTGAAATAATTGGCATGCTTGTTTTCTTATTGAATTAGTATCTTAGTACTAATCGTCTTTCTTCATTTTATAAAAAGTGATTGTTGGTTTTTGGCAGACCTGGTTTACAGTACATTTTGTCTCTCGTACCTTACCGTTACATGTTCAACGTGCCCTCGCTACTCTTTTAGGGGTAGTTCAGTGATAAACATAAAATATTTTGATTAATTTTAACCAATTGTACTTATATTGATTCTTTGTTCCAGATTCCAGAAGGGCAGCCTTATCAAGGTAGGATCTTTCTTTTTTCATGCGAATACAATCTTTACTGCGCTTTATTTTTTGTGTGAATAGTTAGCATAGAGATTTATTTGTACGCGAGGAAATTCTCACCTTCTCAAAATGATCTACTAGCAAATATTGAAATATTTATATCTTGATCGGCTTTTTGAACTCGTTGCGCTTTGATTTACATTTAAGAGCCTTCGTGGTTCCACTTTTCGGGCAAATACGCCGTAATCGTGCCGAGAAAAGCGGGATAGTGATGTAGTAGTGATGGTAACGAATATCTCTGAAAGGTTGTCCTCTTGTAATAATCATTGTACTAGATAGCAACCCTCTAAGTCCTGCAGTTGGGTGTACGTTGTGGTGCCAGCTGAAATTTAGCGAGTATAGTTCTTATAATCCTTGACAAAGGATTCTCCTCGAAAATTAAGGTACTCCATAACCAAGGGTATAGCCAAGGGTTCATGGTTGTACCTACTTGGTATGAAGTGCAGACTTTTGATGCGACCGTTTGGCAAGAGCTTTATTCGAATACTTAATCTGTCGCCTCTTCTTTATCCAAACTCACTGACTTAGAGGGATGTTATAAATGTCTGGTACTCTGAGAAGGTAAGTGAGTCTTCGGGGGTTCAGTGGGACCACTTGAGCCACCTGAGGATGGCCAACGCCCCACCCCCATTACTTTACAAAGATAAGAGTCTTACTAGTCGCGTTTATGGTTTTAATTTTTGCGTAAGCATTCTCTCTGACTTTGCGATTCACTGGTACGATGCTCTTACTCTTGATGCGCTTAATTTTTTGTTTGTTTTGATTAGTGATATTAACAACCTTATATACATTAACGTAAGAATTTCACTTTCACAATTTTTACATTATGAATTTTTATTCTCTCTATAGAAGACCTCATACATAAATGTAAAAACAGTTTGAAATTATGAATTCCTCTCTCATTTTGAAATTCCCAAATCTGTCACCTAATTTGTGGCACTTCAAAAACTTACACATATGAATTTTACCCTATTTAATTAGCCCGATTCCCCATTCTAGTTCGAGTGTCATCCGAGAAAGATTTTCTCGTATCGTTCCCGTTATTTGATATTTCACTCAAGTTATTTATTTTATCTCCGCGGTAATAGAGCAGTAATTTATGTTTTTGTTATTAACAATATTAATTTTACTTGTCGTTACTCAGTTACTTACTTTGTATATACAGTGTGTCCAAAATAACAATGAACAGCATCGGGAATCGGAAACCATAGAGATACGCAGTTGGTTAAAAGAAGTTGCTTATTTTAGGGCTTAGTAAAATGATGTTTAAAAATTTCGAAAATTCTGATCAGTTTCGAAAAAAACCAAAATTAACCGTATTCGTTTTTTTCTGACTGTGTAAGTAGATATCAAAAAACAAATAACAATAGGAACTTTTTAAGCTCTACAGGATGGTGCCCACAGATTTTCATTGCGACGTTTCGTCTTTGAGAAACCATCATCATCTTCATATTTTTAAATGGGCCGGAAACAAAATAAATACTGTGTTGAGTAGCATTTTTTATTACGAATACAATGATTTATGTCACAATATGATTCTTTATTAGGTATGTCATTTAAAGAAACCATCAATGAATTTTTTGATATTTTGTCAACGCCTACTACACCAAAATTTAATAACATTTTTATACGCAACTTTTTTTAATTGAACCGACCCTGTATTTCTGATGGTTCGCAATTTCTTCAGCTGTTGATTCTTATCTTGGGCACAGTGAATATTCAATTTATAATGTTTCAATTTTAACTCGGTTTTCTTTTTAAGCTACTACCCGTAAAGCCTAACTTTAGTTACGATCCTAATCCTCCTATCTTGGATTTTGCCTCATACTCTAACCTTAGAAATATTTACCCTAGCTTCCAACTTCCTATAGTCTACCTATCCCAAAGTGGACTGCTTGACCAAGACAAGCAGGGGTGGTGGTGGGCCCACTTCCTTCCTTTCTCCCTTCCTGGTATATTTAAATCCATTTTCATATAAGGATTCTCTTCGATTCTCTAATGCGAGAGGTGTCACGTTTGTAAGGCCCATCAAAACTGTGTGCTTTTTTACTTAATTATGTTTAAAGGGGCTCCCGGAAACCCCATGTGCACCATTATAACAGTGTAAACCCTAGCATTAGTTAAACCACTAGTTTTGCCATGAAAATGCACTTGTGCCTCTTTACAAATTTAAGCTTTTTTGATTAATTATGTATGCTCAAATGTGACTATTTCAGCTCCATGCACGCAAATATAAAATTGTAACCTCCCATACTTTGCAAGTTCCTACTGGGAGGGTGTCCATCTTATGGCGCTTCAAAGTTTCTGATTCTTAGTTTAATTGGAGTTGAAGGTGATTATAGCTACAAGGAAAGTATAATCTTTAGTCGATTTATTATTTTATAGAATTTCTTATAAACAGTTTCGTACTTGGCAATCTCTGCTACAAAAACAACACTCTTGCATAACACCCAAATTATTTGGTTCTTTGTTGTATAAATCAAGCGAGTTCTAGCACACAGATGCCTACTAAACTTTTCTCATTACAATTTCACTCCATACTGTGAGGGTGTTACACTCTGGTGTATGAAATATTTTTTGTTTATGTATGATTCATTATGCTTGCACGGTAAACATGCATGTGATCGAGAACACTGGATATATCTTCAAATGCATTTTTTAAGAAGCTTTTTATGGTACCCAAAATTATAAAAAGTTTGCTACCAATCTTGTGGTCAGTGGCGTCCTTCTCCATGGTTAGTGGAGGACACCTTTGTTAATGGCAACTACTACTTTTCATTACACTTTTTTGAATATGAATAGTATAAAGAACTTTTTATATTACATAATCAAATTTAAGACAAAAACTCAAATTATGAAAATATTTGTGTTAATTAATTTTATAATTGTACTAGTCTCACGTTTTTTTGTTGTCAAAAATTCATTCTTTAGCCTCACAAAAAAGTGCTTTTCATTAAAAGGTATCCCTCTTAGTTCTGTAGTCGAACGCTACTATATATAATTTGTTTTCCGGTCCTGTATCTTCTCCCTCTATTTTCTAATTCCCATAGGTTAGCTATGATGACTTGATCCTCCCACGTACACTTTGGTCTTCCCTTCGTTCTTGCCGTATTGGGCCAGCACGTAGTAACTTTTTTTTACCTGTCGTTCCTCAACTGCATTCTCTGTACCCTTATCGTTTTTACTATGTTTCTGGACTCAGTATTGTTCTTACCTCCGAGTTCAGTAATCTTCCAAATAATCCGCAATTTTCTTCCCTCCAAAAATTCTTCTTATTATTTACGGTTCAAAAATTTTTCAGTTCTGTTATTCCGCCGCTTCTTGGTGGGATTGCTTATGCTTTTGTCTTTCTGGTAGGCTCTATACCTTGCCTGTATTAGTTGATCTGTCCCTAGGGTTCTCTCCTTAATTTTTTGCCTAAGTACTTCAAATTTCCCACAATCTCAAACCGGTAGTTTTCCTATATCTACTTCCTTTTCGATATTCCAGGAGTACAGGAGAGGTCTCTGCTTATCTTCATCATGATTATAATTTTCAGCCCCTGTTGCTTGCTTCTTTCTCAATTATTCGTACCACCTCCTCTAAGCTTTTCCTACTCCTTGCTATTATCACTAAATCGTTCCATTGACTTTCAAGTCTTTAATTAATGCGTCTAACAGCGGTGTTGATAGGCCGTCCCTTTGTCTCACTCCTAAATTAATTTTGAACTCGCTTCCGTTGCTTCCACTTCCCTAAGTACTGCTGCTTTAGAGCCACTCATTATCATTTCAGTCAGTGGTATTTTTTTTGCGGAATTTTCATTTATTCTTGTGTTCTATTGTAGCATCTCACTTTAGGTTGTTTGAAATCAAAGTATTTCCAGTTCAATTTCATATTCGTATGCTCTTTCAATTATTGGGCTTACAGTATGTATCACATGTAATGTGGATACGCCCCTCCTATATTCATTTTGTTAATATTCTATTGTTTATTAGTATGATCATTGTATACCTACTGTGTTTAGGAAAGTAATTCCTCTGTAATTCCTGCATATCCTCTTATCGTCTTTCTTCAGTAATGGCACTGATAACCCCCTTTTCCATTTGCTACGCATGCACCACTGGTGCTCTAACTGGATTATAGTTTCTTTACAAAATCTTGTTTTGAAGATATATCCAGTGTTTCAGACAAAATGCTCACCCCGTATACATAAATAATATTTAAATTATGAATCTTTCCATGAAAATTTTCTTGTACTTCGTAATCATCTACTGCAAGTGCGAAAGCTCACTAAAAATGTTTAATTCT